ACGATGCGGGGGTCCCCCTAGCCGAGCCCAAGCTGTGGCGGGCACCCCTGTTTGAGAGCGGCCTCAGCCTGGCGGAGGCCAAGGAGAGAGGCTACGTGGTGTGGTTTGTAGACGGGTCCAACTACCATGAGGAAGGGGTGCCGTACACGGGCTACGCCGCCGTCAACCGGGGCACTGGGGAGGTGGTGAAGGGGAAGTGCCTGCCTCACTCCATCCAGGCTGCTGAGCTGGTGGCCGTGACGGCTGCCCTGGAAAACACGCCGGCAGACCAGCCCCTGGCCATATTTTCGGATTCAGGTTGGGTGGTGAGGGCGGGGCTGGAGTGGCTGGCGAGGGAGAGGGACGTGCAGTCTGCCGATGGCAAACCTGTCACCTATGCCAAAAAGCTGCTGTACCTTGCGAGGCTGGCGGAGCAGAGGGTGCGTCCGGCCCAGATCATTAAGGTCAAAGCCCACAAGAAGGGAACGGAGGAGGCCAAGTGGAACAAGGAGGCAGATGCCAAAGCCAAGCAAGGTGCAAAGGAAGGGCTGATGTGGAAGGCCAGCAAGCCCTTGGAGAATGGCCCTGTGCTGGTGGCTCCCAGCAGACACTGGGAGAGCGTGGACCTGCTGAGCTTGCAGGCACAAGACCCCAGCATTCGAGAGTTAGTGCAGGGCAGGGAGTATAAAGGGTGTAAGGTGTGGAGGGATGTCTCGGGGCTGGTTCTGGCACGGAGGGAGGGGGCAGACTTCCCAGTCTGGGTGGTGCCTGAACTCATCCGAACAGAGCTGGTGGCCCTGGCTCATGAGCAGGGGCATTTGGGGACAGACAAGACCATGATGAGGCTGCAGGGTGCTGGGTGGTGGCCTGAAATGAGAGAGGATGTGGAGAGGTATGTTAGCAACTGCTTGACGTGCGCAGCCAACTATCCCGATGCCAAAACGGCCAAAGCTCTCCTGGGCCACCAGAGGATTTCTGGGCCATGGAGCAAATTGCAGATGGAGTTTATTGGCCCCTTGCCCCAGACAGCCCACGGGAACAGGTATTGCCTGGTGATCAGTGATAACTTCACCAAGTGGGTAGAAGCATTTCCAGCTCGAAACAACACAGCCAGTGCAACTGCAAAGATCCTGGTAGAGCA